CAGCCTGCCTGCTGCAAACCACATCAGCCACCCCTGCCTGGTGTAAACTGGCTGGGCTGGTTCCCCTCACCGGGGGAATTGGTGCAACTGGACCAGCCAGGCTTGTTTCCTCCCCTTGGGAAAACGTCTGTCACAACAGACATGTCAGCCCTAAAGATGTCTCTGCAAGGGAGAGATGAATGATAAATGACATTTCTCAGCTGGGTTATTCCAGCCTGGATGGCCTTGGCTGTGCACGTTTGTTGGGGGCTTTGGTATTAACAAGTGGCTTTAATCTGCATCAAGGTTCTAGTGAGGAGGGGTGGGAAGGGACTCCATTCCTGCAGGGTGGGCACAGTTTGAGATACCAGGAAAGTTTGGGGGCAGTGAAGGGGACCCAGCTGGATCCTGCTCCTCCTCAGGGCAGGAGGAACAGGCTCCTGGTGAGCAGAGGGCCTGATGCTCTGGGGTTCTTCTGGATGCTGTCCCAGCTCCAACACCCCTTGGATGATCCCACAGGCCTGACTGTGAGCTCAGTCATTGCAGCTCCCAGCCCCATTCCCAGCAGCTTTCCTGGCCTCTTGCCCTGGCTGTGGAACAGGATTTATGGGGAATCACTGAGCAGGATCTGCTGAGGGGAACATCAGAGCTGGCTGCTGGAGGAGCTCTGCAGAGCCATCCCTGGGCAGCCCATGAGTGTCAGTGCAAAGCTCTGCATGCTGTTCTGCACCTTCTACCTTGTCAGGAGAGTGGGAACTGTCCCTACACTGCTCCATCCCCACAAACAACACAACAGAGGAACCAAGCTCTGTCAGCTTTCACAGAATAGTCCTCTGACAATTCCCACCCGAGCCATGACTCAACATGATCCCCAGGCCAGTGCTTTCTGCAGCCTCCCCTCCATCCACAAACACCTTTGTGCCCTGACACCGCATCCCCCATGAGGAGCAGCAGGAAGCTGCCCACAGGTCCTTCATGTCCCTTTGGGACACAATCCTGGCAGTGCCAGACACTCACTGCTGACCTGGAAAGCCAGCAAGGCTGGAGGAGCTGGATGTGGAGGGGCAGATGGACAGAAGTCACCTTTAAGGGAATGGCACTGAGTCTGCCCTGGGTTTGCCCAGCTCAGGGGGCTGGTGCCAGGCATTCAGAGCTGAGACAGGGACAAACAGCAGGCCCATGGCCAGTGTGAGCAGAAACAAGTGGTCCCCAAGGAGCTGCTGGGCTTGCAGAGGGCTTGTTTGCTCCATCAAGGTGGATGCTTGCAAAAACTTTCATTTTAACCAGTGTCATTTCCTCACTGGCAGGAGCAAAAAAAGGCAGCAACTGCAATAAACCCTCAGCCTTATTTTTCAAGTGTCTTTTTGAACAAGGGTTAATCAACAGTAAAATTAAGAGGCCCCTGGAGGGAGCTACCAGCAGCCCACGCTGACTCACAGCCCCAAATTTACTGCAGCCAGAAGTTCATTTGCATTTCCTCCCGCATGCAGAGAGCAGCAGGAACAGAAGAGGTTTGTAGGGAAAAGGGGTGGAGAGCAGGGAGGACCGGCGGCAGCGGCGATGGTTTGGTTATAAAGAGCATGGGAGGAAAGAGAGGCAGCACTCAGCCCTCGGCCGGGGCTGGGCGCGCAGGGATGGGCGACAGCGGGGCTGAGTCACTGCATTCCTGCATCGGGCTCCTGGGCATTTCCGCAGGTAGGGACCGCTCCTGGCATCCTGGCACGGGACACGGGCTCGGGACGAGCTTTCCGGGACACCCTCCTTTTCCGAGGGGGCTCAGGAGGCTGTTTATCCGCAGGCTTCTCTGCCTGGGGTGAGCTTTTCTATCCAGAGATCCCTGCGCCTGCTTTGGCGGCCAACAAAATATTTGTGTTGGCTTCCAAGGGCTGGCCTGAAGTTTTGTACTTGTTCCACACTGGGAGGGAAGCAAATCCAAACTTTTTTATAGTCACTGTAGTAAATCATCTCGGTTTGGATGCAGCTTCCTCCCCTTTCCTTTTCCAATCCTTCTCCCCACAGCTCTGTTTTCTGAGTTCACTCTCTTTCACTTGCTCCTCCTTTGTGTTCCATCTTCCTGGATTTTTTCAACTGGTTTTCCATCACTACAAGGCTGGAGGGATCTGCTGCAGGGTGTGTTATCTGTCTGCTTTTTGTATAACTGGAATAATGGATTTTTACCTTTATCTGGCATCAAGGGATATGACTCTTTCATCCAGGATGGTTTGGGTTGGAAGGGACCTTAAAGATGATCCATTCCATCTTCTGCCATGGGCAGGGACACCTTCTCCTGCACCCAGCTGCTCCAAGCCCCAATATCCAACCTGTGGGATAGAGCACCACAACCTCTCTGGGCAAACTCAAGTGACTAATTCAAAACTTTTTCAAACCAAGCAGGCAGAAAGAAGTGAGACCTTGGGCACAAACCGAGCCACACTCCTCCAGCTCCTTAGGCTTTCCTATTTGTAGATCGTGCACTGTTATTTTCCCTCTGTTCCCTGCTCTGTCTGCCCTGATTCTCCCATGTTTTTGGGCCAGGTTTACAAGCTCAGTGTGTTTCCCCCCGTGTCCCACAGGCTCTCTCCTGCTGGCCGTGCATTTCTACAGCTCCGCGCGAGCGGCGCCGCTGATCCCCAGCACGGCTCTGGGGGTCCTGCTGCTCCTTGTGTCGGCTCTCCTGGCCTATGCAGGTAAGACCTGGGGCTGGCCTGCCCCAATCTCCCTCCCACAGCTGTGCACACCCAGCTCTGCTCTGCCCACAGGATACAAACCATGGCAGCCCCGCTGGGCCACCCATCCCTTCTCCCAGAGGAGTGCATTGCCCAGAGCAGCTGTGGCTGCCCTGGATCCCTGGAAGTGCCCAAGGCCAGGTTGGATGAGGCTTGGAGGACCTGGGATGGTGGAAGGTGTCCCTGCCCATGGGATGAACTTTGAGGTCTCTCCCAACCAAAACCATTCCATGGCTCTGTGTCAGCACAGCAAATTTTCCCTCTATAGGCGAGAGAAGAAATCAATGTTTGTTTTAAACAAATGCTCTACCAGGATCTCAGAGTTTTAACACACTGAATACACGTTTATCTCCCAGGCTTTCTGAGAGTGCTTTCAGCAGGCATGGATTGAAATGTCCATGAGTAAGTGCCAAGAGACAGTGACTCTACTTATCTGAGAGAAGAAAATCACTGCCTAGGACAAAATCCACTCTTTCTAGAATGAATGTTGAATCATTTATTCTTTGTAGCTCATAGCAACATGAAATCACAGAATCATCAAATCACAGAATTGTTCAGGTTGGAAAAGACCTTGAAGGTTGTCAAATCCAACCAGCACCACCACCATGGTCACCACTAAGCCGTGTCCTCAGGTGCCACATCCATGTGTCTTTCAACACTTCCAGGGATGGGGACTCCACCACTGCCCTGGGCAGCTGTGCCAGGGCTGGACAACTTTTTCCATTAGAAATTTTCCCTGATCCTCAATCTAAACCTCCCCTGGCACAACTTGAGCCCATTTCCTCTTGTTCCCTGGGAGAAGTGCCTGACCCCTTGCTACAAACTCCTTCCATGAAATTGAAGAGTGGGATAAGAGTGGGGTAAAAGTGGGATAAGAGTGGCCTCCTTTTCTGCAGGACAATCCACCATCAGGCAGGACCTGTGCTGATCCTTGCCCCTTAGTGATCCTGCTCCCCACCTTTCCTAACCCCTGCCTCCCACACCCTGCTGTC